AAAAAAAGCCACCTGGCGGTCAAAAATGATCATTAGACGTATGCACAGCAAATTATCAGATATTTTATTGAGATTTTAACATTTTGTTTACATTCCTATGGGTTCCGTACCAATGCTTATCCGTTAGACGGCGGCGCAGTTAAAGCAGTACGATTGCTTTGAAAAAAAAAATTCAGAATTTTCAAAATATTTCAAAATACACTTTTCTTCAAAGTCTTTTTTTCAAAAAAGTAAATTTTTGTCAAAAATTTATAGTTTCTTAAAAATCTAATTTTTTAGAGTAATTTCTTTTCAAAAATGTCAATCTTTAAAAAAAAATTTTTTTGGTACGGGAAGTTCCAGCAATTGCCTTAAGGCACGATGCCATTAGTTTAGTCTTATTTTTACTTCACGATTTAGAATTTTCTGATTTTTTGATTGCATCATACGTATAATCGACTTTATTGTTAAAAAAATTTCTATATAATTAGAACTAAATACCATTGCAAATTTATAGATTTTTATAAATATTTTAACGTATTTGCTTTATTAAAATAATATGTAAACAAATGTAAATAAGATTTTTTATTGTTACGTCGTATAGCAATCAGTTGTATAACATTTTGGGTTAATTTGACTTAACAATTGTCTTTTCTCTGTGTGATAAATATTATTATTACAATTTCTGTAGACTGCGCGAATATTTAATTGGTGTAGGAATGACCGATTAGAGCTATTTTCACTTGAAAGCAAATTGCTATTTATATTTCCAAGTAAAAACCGATGTTACTACTGTTCGACGTCAGGCTCCTTGAAGCGGGATCGAACACGGGACCTCTTATTCCTGCCCAGTTGTTCCACGAGTAAGCCCCAATTAGATATTAAACGGGTCATCTCAATTTTAATATAATCATAATACAGCAAATTTATAGAGTTTATGAAATATTGCATTACATTCGATAAAAAAATATTACAAACGAATTTAATACAGTTCTTAAACTAACCACCTCAACCATAATCTTGTACTACGTTGACAAAGATCTAGAATGTCTATCCTTTTACAAAACGTTTTATTAGTCTGTCTGTCAGAGTGCCAGAGGTTCACAGAAAATTGAATAAAACCGAAGAAAAATAAGAAAACGTTACCTGTACCTTTTAGGCAGACGATTTTCATTGCTTATCCAGCCATACCGCACGGAAAATAGAATATTGTATGAAATATGACATGGGTTGGTGACATTTACAGAAGGGTTATACCCACATTTCACAAATATGACATTGATCAATTTGTTGAACAGATTTTGGCTGTAGGCGTTATAGAT